TTTCCCCTTAGCTGTAGGCTGAACTACAGCTGCTCTGATTTTCTCTGAAGAGAATATGTAGGCATAGGATGCGATATCCTAGCGAGCATACTAACAACTAACCTTTTGTTCTCTCGCTGCTGTGCGATCGAGACTTCCCCGCTGACGACTGATGTTATCCTTTTCTCTTGCCCGAGCGCATTTGAGACCAGACCGTAGTTCTAGTTCCCGTAGGTTCCCGTACCTCAAAACCCGACATACTACATCCGTTCTACCGCAAACAGGTACGTCTAAGTCTCCAATGGTCGAGCAGCGTCCACCTAACTGCTAGAATGCGTACGCTAGTATCGTCAACTTAATCTCTCACCCCCGTGTGACCGAGAACACCCTTGTCTACCCGTAGTTAGCCTGAACTACCTTATGCTCTGATTTCTCTGACGAGAATACGTAGGCCCAAGACGCGACGTCTTGACGAGCAACTTTCCCCCGTAGTTTCCCGAACTACGTAAACTCTGATTTCTCATTCTCTGATGAGAGTACGTAGGCATAGAGTGCGACGCTCTATCGAGTCAATTTCTTTCCGTTTAGATCTAGCAGCCGTAGATAGATTGTTTTTCACCCGTAGACAAACCAACAAGCGTGGATCCCGTCGAGTACGACGGATGTGAGGGGTGCTAATACCTTCCCCTTGCGTAACCGACTCCCGAACCCAGACAATGGTTGCGACGACCTTGTCTTACCCTTTTTCGTCAGGTTTTTCCGATCGTTTCCTTTCCCGCTCCGAGGGATAAATAACGAAAGGTGGCGACTCTTCTGTTTTGCCGGCACCTTATTTTCGCGGAAGCAATAATATGCTATGAGACGCAACTATTATGGACTACAACGCAACAATAGCAACCGTGCAACAAGGCATCAAGCCTACAACCAATTATCCATAACAGAAACATCATTATTTCGCATACATCATATACTCACCATTTCAACATAATCAAATGAGAATACTATAACAACATTTTCTCAGCAGATGACATGACAATTTCATATGCATCAGGTATTCATCATTTCAATCTATTCATGCAAGGGAACAATAGCAACATCATTATCAACATGTCAGAATTCAAGACATTTCCGCAAAATGGCATCACAACTTCTACATACTTATTTATCTACGGGTTACGGTAAAACTCCATTAATTATGGAACGGCAATTCACAAGATATTGCACAGACCAATGACCGACCATACTATTTCGACATAGACAACCCTTTATCGTTAACATTTACCAACCTACAAAACCAAACCCATGATTCCATACCCGTAATGAATTCCATCATACCCTTGGTTATAGAATTGAACCCCACCCTTACCTTGGAATTAAGGTCAATCCTAACTTCTGGTTCTGGTTTATCTCTGCAGTGACTCCTCTGTCACAGCCTTGCAAATTCTCTGATGGATAATCTACTTCGGTTATCCACTTCTCTCAGCCACTCTCTTTTTCCCTTTTACGATTTTTCTTTTGCGAAATTCGCCAACTGAATTGAGCGTAAGGGAATACGAGAATGCGTTACTAAACTTTCAGCATTTTCGTGGCCACGTTCTAATTCTTCCTAATTGGATTTTCGTTAGTATGACGACCGTGACGAGTGTCACGACCGTGAAGGCCATGACGGTCGTAAGGGGTTCATGACGTTCGTAACGATCATGACGAACGTCACATGCCTGTGACAACTGTCACATCAGTAAAATCTCATTTTTCCTAGACAGAACATCTCTTTAGCTTTCCAACGCTTCGAACAGGGACTAAAAGTGACTTACGGATCAAGAGATATGAATTTTCGAAGTTTTCCTTAAGACTGCTACGGGATTTTGCACTTTTGCCCGAAAATTCGACCGATTCAATTCCTTTCTTCGAGACAAACACATACTCAAATACGACTACGACACAACGAGACACGGCAAGGTCATAATTAAATTTAATTGAAATAAAACGGACGTTACACTCGACACCGTGAAGTGTCGTGAGAATAGATCATTCAGGACCCTCCACGACGTGATGGACTCGGACTCCAGGCTCTTGTACCACGTCATCGCGCCTTTCCTCAGGGTCGCCGGAAAGAGCCGGCACTTGATGGCTCCCCGGAAATTCCGGTAGTCGAGCATAACTTCGATGTCTTCCAGATGGTCGTCCGGATCCGAGGTGCCATCGTACGTTGATAGCACGGGTGGTTTCTCCATCTCGTGGGGAATGAGAGCCGCCATGATCTCTCGGGACAACGGGGTCCTGTAGTCGTCCTCGTTGTTGAGGATCGGGGATGGAGGAGGCGAGGGTCCGTTTCGAGGAGGAGGTTGGTTCCGCACCCTCGGTTGCTTGATCGGGGCCTCGGGTCTCCTCGTCCTCGGCTCCTGAGAGCGTCGATCCTTCCTGGTCGGAGATCTTGCTCGCTTCTTGGAGACCACAGGTTAGGGTCTCTCCAGTTGTGGTCGGCGCCCCCACGGCTGGGGAAAGGGGCTCCGAGAGTTCCCGCGCTGATTTCTCCACAGAGGAGAGCGGGATGAGGTGTCGTGTTCCAGCGTGTCGATGCGCTCGTTCTACTGGAACAACATCTGGTTCGTCTGGTTGATGGCTGCGAAGAGGGCGACCATCGTCGGGTCCGCACCGGCTAGAGTGGGTATGGGCTGAAACACTGTCGGGCTCCTTGCCCGAGGAACGACATGGTGTGGCGCGTCCTCAGAGGAAGGGGAGGCGGTTTGGCCGTCCCTGACGTCGGTCTCACAGAGTTGAGATGTCCCCCCCTGACCGTCGGCGTTGGCGACGGGGACAAGGGCGGAGTTGTGGACAGCGTCGTCATGGCGTGGGCTAGTCATGACCCTGAAATTGAGAGATGAAGCTTTGGTTCTCTGCTCGGAGGAACGGGGAAGCTTAGTTTTCCATAAACGACTATTGATCTGACCTGATCAGAAGGAAGTCAGTGACCTACCACGCGTCGTTGGTCTGCCGCCTGTTCACCGGAAGTATGGAAAAGGAGGGGGTGTACTTGCAAGACACTCCGATGCCAAAATGAGTAATGGACCAGAGTGAGAGCAAATACAGAAGAGAGATAGAGAATTGAATACCTGACCCTCTTGCGAAAGAGGGTATTTATAGAAAGACCCCAGCGCAGGACCAACGATCACTTGTGTTGGGCTGGATTGTCAGGCCCAACCCAGGTGACTGGTAGGGCTTACGTGGCGTAGTGCAGACCAACACGTGGTCTTCGCCCTAGTTCAATCGTCCCGTGATCTCCGGAAGGTGGGTTGACCAACTCTTGCAGAGGTGGGTAGTTGGATGAGGACGTGTCCCCGCGAAGGGGAGCACGTGGAGAATGTGTGGAGGACACGTTGTTCTGTCCGACGGGGAGGAAGCTCCTGCTCGACGGTTGAGGTGCTCCGCTTGAAGAGGGCAACCTCTGGTCGACAAAGGTCCTGTCCTCGACACCGCCCTGTTGGGCTGCTTGGGGCCTTCCCCATGTACAATTGGGTTGAGCTTGTCTGGACAAACCGGAGCCCAGTCCAGAACAATACTCTCTCAGTAGTGATTCCGTTGATCATTTCACATAGATTAAAAAAAAATTAAAAGAGAGAATGATATTTTTACTAAAATATTTTTATCATATATTGGAAATAATAAAAGTATTATTAATCGAAAAGATATATTAAAAGTTGAAATAAGTTTTTCATTTTAAAATAATCTTTTATTTCAAATAAATCACTCATTACGAGATAGAGAAAATAACTGAACATTACTAGATAATCATTGATAGACATACATACTCTTTATTAACTACTTCATTCGTCTCATAATTAGTGACTTAGTTGATTTTTTTATGCAGATTAAAAAAAAGAAATAAATGAATAAAAATGAGTGATATTTTTACTAAAATACCTTTATCATATATTGAGAATAATAAAAATAATATTAATTAAAGAATAAAATTAAAAAATATATATTAAAAATTAAAATTGGTCATTCATTCTAAAACACTCATTATAAAAGAGAGGGAGTAGGTTAAATCCATTTTAAAAATCAGAAGAAATCTATATTTCTATTCTATGAAATTAATTATCATTCTTAATCTCAACTGTTACTATTGAATATTAATTATGATATATTTTTTCTTATAACAATTATACATAAACACATTTTACATGTAGTAAAATAAAAATGATTATAGCATTAGTCAATATTTAAAAAATTTAATTATGTGTCACGCGTGTATTTTAAATTACATAAAAATAATTCAATCTTTGTATGTCATAAATTTCATTTATGTTAATACAAATTCTAAATATAAAATTAACAACACATAAATAACAAAATAATTATTTTTAATTATTTAATTATTAAATTGATTTAATAATTTATAATATACAATTAAAATAATTTATTAGATTTTTAAAATAGATTGAATGAATGGATGAATTGAATATTAACATTTTATATAATAAATGAATTAGATTGATATTAACTTAATTAATTTAATTGTCACCTTTAATTTAAATAACGTATTAATTTTTAATTATATAAGTTAATTCGGATGTGTATCAATCAATTTTTGTCACGCTAAATTATCAAAATTTAAAATATTTTTGTTATAAAATTGATTGAAGGGATAAATAAAATAACAAAAGGGAAGTTAAGAAATTAATTTGTAACGTTTTTTAATTAAAATATTAAAAAAGATATTAAATTAAATTAAGAAATTTAGTGACTAATGCGTTATTTTAATATTGAAAAAATTATTATTTTTCTAAAAAATATGTATAATATGTTTTTAACTAATATTAAATGAACCTTATTTTAGATGAGTAATTCTTTTATTTTGCTTTTTGATTTGATGTTCTCCTCCTCTTTTTTCCGTCACCTCACCGTCAACACCGTTCCTAAAAAAAGCATCATTCATCAATATCATCCTCTTCCTCTAACTCACACGCTTGTTCCGAAATTTTTGCTAATCGGAGCTGAACAATAAGAGAGCGACGACGATGATGGCAGTTGTTCTAGGGTTATTGGATTTTATTGTTGCCGGCGTTTCCCTCATCTTTGGTCTCTGCCTTTTCGGTTTCATTGCTTCCCTTCTATGTGTTGTCGCCTTCTTCAACAACGCTAAAGACGTTTCCTAACCCCCTCTCAATTCAACTATCATTTCGTTTCTGTGTCCAAGTAAGCCATTATTTCATTGTGCTTTTTCATCATTCCAAATCTCTGTCGTTTGTACTTTTGGTTGATTTGTTTTAATTTTTCCTTATTGAGTCTGATATTGGATTTAATTACGTATAATAAGTAATAACATTATATTATGGATTGGATAAATATGATTTGGGGAAAATCTGTTCTTCAAAGGTAACATGTTTAGAAAGGACCATTTCTCTAGAATTAATGTAAAACATTACAAAAACTTGTTTCTTTGAACAGAGGAACTAGAAGTGTAACACAATGCACCAAAAACTCTTAACAAGCTAAGGTCAGTGAGAGAGGAGTGCAAAACCTCAAAACGTGATTTATCATTTAGAACACTACTCATAGGGAAAACGGCATGAGATATAACATAATTCCACAAATATTTAGATAAATAGGACTGCATCATGAGTATGTGAGCAATGTACAAAATGTGTTGATGTTTGCGTTCGATTTTACCATTTTGATGAGGGGTGTAGGGACATGCGCGTTGATGGTGTATTCCTTTCACGCTGTAAAAAGATCAAACTCCATTTGGTATGAAGCGAGCAATTATTGTGAGAATAAGCCCCAATTGTCGATGCATCCCTTCCTCCTCTTGATCAATTAGACCCTAGCTATGAAGCTTGGGAGAGATGCAACAATCTTGTGCATGCTGAATCAAACAAACAGCATCAGAGAACACAAACTTCAAATAGCTGACTTAGTGAGCCTAGGTATAGAAATAAGATTGAAACTGAAGTGAGATGCACAAGACCCCTTGTGAGAATCGTTTCTTCAAGATCTTCCAAACGGAAGCAACACTTTCAACAAACACCAAGCTCGATGTGATCATTGGAGTGATATGTTCAATCCTCTTGTTTGGACCAATTTATTATTAAAGCAATAAGTGTGGAAAAAAAATGTATGGATATGGAAATTGCCTCATCTTATCAATGAACAGAAGGCATGGGAGAGGTAGCTCAACTGGTTTGAACTAGTTGAGCTAAAGGTTAAAGGAGTTGGAGGTCATGGGTTCAATCCAGAAAAAAAAACCCTAACAATTTGCATACTACCTTCATTTTGGACAATCAAATTTATTCTTGTCATAACCATATCTCTTATTATCAATACATATACAATATATGTATCTCTAAAAGTATAGATGATAAAGTCATTTCAAAATAACACACTGCCGCCTAAAAACAAGATACATGCTTTTTAATTTTCCCTTTCTTTCATTCAGCAGTTCTGACCCAATAATGGTAAAATGTTTTTACATAAATTGTATATTTGGTTTTTAGGATTATATGTTTTAGTCATGCAAGACTCATTTACTGTCGAATTAATTGAACGACTTAATTTAGATGTAACTATATATGGGTGTTTGTTTGCCATTAACTTCTCATCATGTTACACTTCCCATAATCATATGGTTTGATTGATCTCTATTTTCTTTTGTATCATGTAGCTGTTTGTTGTACTGGCAGTTGGGTCTTCTTGGGATGTCTGGGAGTTTTCTGTATGAACTCAAATGTATCAAAATGGCACCTTGGATCTTATGAGTGAAAGAGTACGGATGGTACTTCAGGTATCTTGACTCTGAAATGTTGTTACTGGTTCATCGCAGTGGATGACGTTTGGTAGTTCTTTAATTTACTTTTTGGCAGAATCTTTCTGGAGTTTGGAAGCAGCGTATCCTCATAAATGCTTAACTTGAAAGGATAATCTTTCTTTAACATTCCAGCTAAAGCTAGTACTGCTCAAGTTTCAGACTTGCCACTCTATATTTCTGTTTTGGACCATTTAATTGTTTTCCTTTTGTGTATGTTATGTAGGCCCAGCCTCAAATTTTTTATTTTAGGTAAAAAAAGGAGAGAAAAATATTATAGATACTAGCTATTGACTTGATACAAAAGATTAAATATGAATTTCTATTTATAGAATACATAGACTCAATCCTAAATCAGGAACAAATCATAATAATAATAATAATAACTAATATCAGTATGATACTAAAAGATACAATCTATATAGGAATGCAATTCTATTATAATTTCTAAAGATATTTCCAAAATCAATTATAATAAATATCAATATCTCGAAACTCCCAATATCATATACATCCATCTTGTCACATATATTTTGAAGAGACTTAATAAGGTTATTTCGGCAAGTTGGTCCTTAGAATTGGCAAAGGAGGTTTGGATTGTTCCATAGAGAATATTTTCTCTAATGAAATGACAATCAACTTATATATGCTTTGTTCTCTTGTGAAAAAATGGATTAAAGAGATGTAAAACTTATTGATTATCACACACGAGTTCCATTTGATCTACCTCACAAAAATGTAATTTTTGCTGTAAATGTTTCAACCAAACAAGCTCAGAAATAGCGTGAGCCATAGCTCGGTGCTTGGCTTTTGTACTTGATTGGACAACAATACTCTGATGTGGCAACACTTTGCTTTTTGCTCTTTTATGAAGTCAGATTTCCACCCACAAAAATGTAATAACCAGAACTAGACTGTCTATCATTTGCATCTCTTGCCTAATCGCTATTTGAATACCCAACAATATTAGTGTGACCTCTATCAAGGGAAACAAGTCATGTCAATTTTTTCAAGCGCTCTTTAAATGTACTTAAGAACACAAACAATTGCATTCCAAAGACTATCACAAAGAGAATTAAGAAACTAACTTCCGATGGGAAAGTATAACTTGTCTGGTTAGGGTGAGATAAATCAATTTTTCACTAGCCTTCGGTATCTCGCTGGATTAGAATATGGCTCCCCCTTGATTTGAAATGGGCTTTACATTAAGATTCATATGAGTGTCGAGAGGTTTACTATAACACCCTTCTAAACCCTGCGAAATATATATAAATAATTAGAGTAAATGATAATGCATCTCAAATAAGGGTGTCATATATAATTCAAAACATCACACATTTATCATACTCAATAATACTTAAAATAAATTCATGCTTTTTATATACTTTCATATAGCATGTAGCAGCGGAATTACTTCAATCATAAATTAACATAATAAAAGCCCCGTGATCAACTAATTCATAATCATCACTTAGGCATAAAAGTCGATACTCCACATAATTCAAATAACAATAACAAAATAAAGTAAAGCACATAAAGTATCTCTCAAAATATGAATCGAACTGTTATCATGTTACATGATCAGAGCATGATTCAACCCAAAATAAATAGAGAAACTAAAACAAATTACTCCAACGGCTACCTCGCGCTAGAAACAACTCTACTACAAGATACATATATTTATTTGATGATAAACATTTAAGAAAGACAAAATAATCTGATTTACAACATACATATATTTATTTAATGATAAGTATTTAAGATAAATAATCTGATTACAACATACATATATTTATTTGATGATAAGCATTTAAGAAAGACAAAATGATCTGATTTGCAACCGATCATTCTAAATTGTTGTAAAACTTTGTTGATGGCACTGATATTTTGATACAATGATTATTCGTTTCATAAATGACACCAATGTTTTGATATAAAACTCATATTCACAATAGTGGTGACATAAGATCGGCTGACATTGGTGTTTTGTCGGACCTTTTCATGTTTGATCCTCAAAAAGGTGGTGTACATGAAAAAAAATACTTTGACGGTCAAAAGTGAAAGGTATTTAAGATTAAAATAGTTTGTACCTTGAGGGGCTGAAGATGTTAAGTTTATATTGAGCTCAAAGATATGGTATTGAATTTGTGTCAGTCAAATGTCTCATTTGAAACCATTTTATAGTGGTAAAAATTTGATTTCAAATCAATTAACTTTGTAAAATTTATTTTAGAGAAAAATGTAAAGTGATTTATATTGAGGTATGTTTATTCAAAAGTGACTTGAAAAATAAAGTTGAGTCTTTAAATCCATTAAGTCACAAGAGGTCTAAATTATAGCTTGAAGTTTGAATCAATTCTAAAAGTAAAATTAAGTATATCGTGAATACTCAAACATGTCCTAATCAATTATATGCTTCTATTTAGTTAATGATATGTGGCATGTGGGGGATGGATCCCATCCATAGGGTTTTTACTGAATTTCTCTCCGGTGTTAATCCACACCATTAAATCATCCATATTCTTTTTAATTAAGCGGTTTTTATCACATCTTGTGGAGGGTTATTGGTGTATTAATAAAATGTTTGGCTTTTTTTTAATTAAAAAATTGCTTCCTTTGTACATTGGGTGAAACTAACTATGCATTTATGCTAACATATCCATATTACAGATGGTGAATCATGATATTTTGTACATTGGATAAATAAAAAACTGAACCTCTGCATTTTTAGACATGACCTCAAGTGTCTCTCTTACTAGTGTCAAGCATATTGAATATTGCCCCTGATGTTATGTGAGATAGTGTAAAACCAGTTAAAGACTTGAGAAAAATCAAGGCTATAGACCCATTCAATATCTGCAAGCATTTTCATCTGTTCATCATCTTGAATCTGCAATAGAGGGGTGTTTTATCTTGAGTGCAATTGATTCACCTGTTATAATTTATGAACAATAAATGTTCATCTGCGTGTTTTAAAATGACAAGAAAAGTGAAAGTAAGTAAATGCAAACAAATGCTTGAGAAATAGTCTCACATAGAAAGTGACACTCACATTAAAAATCTTTATAAAGAGTTATGAACATTAATTCAACAAAAGGATAAAATAGGATAAAGTGTCACAAAGACAAGTGTGGTGGTTCCAAACATTATGCCACTTGTCTTCTTCATACACCTTCTCGTCCGATGGCGTCACCGGCTCCGAGACTGGATCTGATGGCGTGGGCGTAGAGGTGCTAGCGGAGGCTTGTAAGTGGCACTTAGGCACGATGCATCGAATCAATCGGACTACTTGTGGCATTATACGACGGCGCTTCGGCGGTCGGCGCCTGAGATGAAACAAATTTCATCCGTTGG